TGATGGCTTGTAAATCTATCTTTTTGGATATTTTGATAACGAAAATAGGGCGCACGTGTAGGTATAAGTACAAAGAAGTAATTCATATAGGTTTTTCGAGCGCAAAAGTCGTAACGAGTGGGCGAAAGTGCGACAAAGGATTTCCACAATTTGCAGCCTATGGAGGCGCTGCATAGCGTTCATGTGAGTGAACGCTATGTATCTTAGCTAAATCCAATGTAGCTTTAAGATCAACGAAACAACAGTATAGTCTGCCCTTTATAAAGACAAATATTAGAGACTAGTGTATCTAACACAAATATATTGTGCTTGGGTGAGTTTATAGAGTTCATAAATATATAAAGGTTATCAAATTAAGATGACACTACTCCCACTCAAAAGGGATACGAAGGTGATACTTCAAAATAGACCAGATGTTTGTTTTCGTTTTCTTCTGCTATGCGAGTAGGAGACATCATGGTCGGTCTGTTGTCAAGGGCCATAACTCTGATTTTTTTCCTTCTGTGTTGTAACATTTTATATGACGGGTCGATACGTTCTAGGTTCGAGTCGGCATGGTTGGAAAAAAGGGGGTTTTGTTTTATATTTTTGGTCGGCAATAAAAAATTGGGTAGGTTGGGCGATGAGAAACACAAAAATATTCATTCTGCCCTAATTGTCCTCACATTACCTGACTTGCAGCGCCCTCTGCTTGAGACGATTGTTCAAATGACCGTTCGTTTATTCGTTCTAGAAATTAAGATTTCCTCTAATTATGGATGAACAGATTTCTCGTCTTAATTTGTGAAACGGGAGTTGCCCAAGGCTTGAACGTAATCCATGTTGTCGGGGAACTCTCGGCCAGGAAGTATCATGGGTTGCCCAGCCTCGCCTAAGGAGCCTCAATTAGCTATGAAGATTTGCTTCCCTTGGGTATCTCAGAAACCTATTATTGTTGGTTCGAATATTGGCCTTCAGTAACCCATGCTTGTCGTAAGAGGCGACTAACGGAATCGGGTGGTCAGGCTCGCTGACTTGGTTGACACATGTCATCGGTTCCCAATTGCGCAGATCGATGCTCATGCTGTTAGTCACTGGATTGTCAGGTCCAGACTCGATTATTTACAGACCGCTGCCATATAGCTGGAATATTGCTGAGTGTGGAGTAAAACTAAACTCACTCACTCACTCGAATCCTGGTTCGCCCCGATAATGGTTCTAGTTTATCACCATCTTACCGGAACTCGTTTCACTAAAGTGGTAAACGCCTGAGATCTGCATCGCTTCGGGCCTTCCTTCCACAGTGAACCTACATGCCGTTATGTAACTTGAATACTGTTAAAAGCGACGCCAAAACCAACAAAGACAGAACAAACAGACATTCCTGGAATGTGGTTGCAGCTTCAAATGGAAAACAAATCTTGAAAGCATCCCGATGTCATTACAGTCGTTTTTTGTGAAAACTGAAAATGATTGTACGCCGCTTTAGCAATAATCCAGCAATATCGCGGCGGGGGATACCAGAAATAGGTACCAGGCATTGTACCCAGGTGGGAGATCGAACCCGAATGGTCGGTCTGACGAGCGGACACTTTAACCACTTGACTACCTCACCGCTCCTCTTGTAAAAAGGGTTTGTATGACCCGATATTAAACTAAATACCATTAAACACAAGCTGTTTACATACAGTAGTAAATAAACAAGACATGTAAACAAATATGGACTTGATTCCTGTTTCAATAAATATTATGGTATTCGATGATCGATGATGAAGCTGTTGATCACTGGATTGTCTGGTCCAGACGCGATTATTTACAGACCGGCGTCATATAGCTGGAATATTGCTGAAGGCGACGTTAAACAACAACCAATGAACTAAATAGCTTCTTACACGTATTTCGTATTCCGTAATAGGCTGCCTTAAATGTCTTGGCACTTGCTCCAAGAGCCACGTGTCGTACAGTCAGGGAGTCTGTGTCCTATAGATTCCAGGGCGGAAAGCTCGATTATAGAGGGGGCGGCGGCGTGGCCTAGTAGTCAAAGCGTTCGCCTGTCACACCGAAGACCCTGGTTCAAGTCCCCTCATGGGTGCAATGTGTGAAACCCATATCTGGAGTCCCCTTCGTGATATTGCTGGAATACTGCTAAAAGCAGCGTGAAACTAAACTCACTCACTCGATCATAGAGCCAAAGTGGCACTACCCTCCATGAAGCACCAATCGACAAGTCAAATTAGGACCTTCATATAATTTGCATTTGCTTCAAATTAAAAGGCGGCGCACGGTCAAGATCAAATCAATAATCAAGATCTTTTTTTGCGGTCTACTCCCATTTGCGAGAACTCCCAGTTGCGAGACTCCCAGTTGTGAGACAGTGGAGAAGGTAAGTAGCAAAGAAAACACACCTTACTCCCCTATCTGATAGAATGGATTAACCCCAGCTAATTAGGGATTAGCTATTTAACTGAATCTTGTGGAGGTAGCTTAAAAGATAAAGTAATTAACCTACTCAGTTAAATGGCTTTAAAAAATAAACACTTTGTGTAGGTAACTTCGTGAATTAATCCAAATGTATTTATTAACCTGTGACTGCTCTTTCCGATCACCATTATGGCAGGCCTTCAACAAGTAGAATACATCACCAGTTCACGAGGCAGTATTCAGGTGCTCTTTCAGGGTAACCTGTATTACAAGAACAAGCAGCGGCGGACTTGTGCCTGATGGAGATGTACAATACGAACGTGCAACGGCAAATGCACTACAGTCGGCGACTATATTCGGAATGTGACTGATCCTCCAGAAGATGTCCAACGCCTCCGTTTTGTGAGGGAAATAGACAATCGACTACATAGACTCAAAGATCAACTTGCAGATGGATCGAAAAATCACATGCAGTATCTTGATGCAGTCGGCAAACTGCTGAAAATATGAAAAGTGTCAAAATCTCCAAATATGGACCCATGTAAAAAAAGTGTTTTATAATGACACACAAACATCATAATAACGCAAATCATCAAAATGTGTGAATAAAAAATGATAATGAAGTATTTAATGAACTATTTCTTCTGTGTAAATATAATGATAATCTTTTTCAGTATTTCAGTATTTAACTTGTTCTTTATTGAAAACAATAAATGCTCTTCAATGAACAATGTCTTCTGTGTCTCATTAATGAACTATGCCTCCTGCGGGTACTCTTCAGCAACAGGGCTGTTCCCACTTTCATCGTAGGGATTGGGAAGCACCACCTGTGTGCACTGAACCATTAATTAATGTGTCTCGCAACTGGGAGTTCTCGCAAATGGGAGGACACCTTTTTTTGTAATAACACAGGACTTAAGCGGATTAAGTTGTTTGACCACCTTGATTGAAAACATTAACAGATTTGGAAAATATCTGTCAACGCCCAGTTGCTAATCCTGCAATTGTTCATGAATCAGACGTCGACTTTATCACGCGATTTGGCTCTTGTCTGAGGGCTTTGAGTTGGGGTATCCATGGTAGACAGCGGTTTGGTAAAGTGCAGATTCTAGTACATTTAAGGGATTTTGAAACGACAGTCTCGGAGTAAGGCTTCTAATCGCCTATACCACTTTCTTATGTGACAATGTTATTCGTTGTGGAACAGTGTTGCTTGGATATGTTGAGATGCAACAGAGAGTGAGTGAGCGAGATTAGTTTCACGCCGCACTCAGCAATATTCCAGCTATATGGTGGTGGTCTGTAAATAATCGAGTTTGGTAAGACAATCCAGTGATCAACAGCATGAGCATCGATCTACGCAATTGGATACGGTGACTTGTGTCAACCAAGTCAGCGAACCTGACCACCCGATCCCGTTAGACGCCTCTTACGACAAGCATGGGTTACTGAAGACCAATTCTAACCCGGATCTTCACGGGTATAATGAGAGCCATGACTGTTCTTGAAGTATCTAGAGCATACGGTCTAACAATTGTACCAGCATTGTTATTCCTTTCTACTGGTTCGTAAACTTGTCATTTTTAGAGAACAACTGTTACTTAAATCACATTTCTTTATTGTTTATGACCCGTGAAGATCCGGGGTAGAATAGGTCTTCAGCAATCCATGCTTGTCACAAAAGGCGACTATGCTTGTCGTAAAAGGCGACTAACAGGATCGGGTGGTCAGGCTCGCTGACTTGGTTGACACATGTCATCGGTTCCCAATTGCGCAGATCGATGCTCATGCTGTTGATCACTGGATTGTCTGGTCCAGACTACATTATTTACAGACCGCTGCCATATAGCTGGAATATTGCTGAGTGCGGCGTAAAACTAAACTCACTCACTCACTAACTTTATTGTTTATTATTTTCACGAACAGGCTTCGGGTTAACGTATTGTTTCAACTTCCAAATCGACACGTAACATCTAAGACAACATGGGTTGAAGAAATAGGGATGGCTCAAAACCTACGTGCGGTGCCGTTAGGTGTAGTTTTGTCCTGAACTATTGTAGGTAAAAGTGAAAGACACAAAAGGGTTTCGTTTACTAGCTATACTACATAGCTAAATGTGCTAATTGTTGACACCCTTTTTTCACTTTTCCTTCCACGTAATAACGTTAGGGGACACCAGAAATGGGCTTCACAAATTGTACCCATGTGGGGAATCGAACCTGGGTCTTCGACGTGACGAGCGAAGGCTTAAAATAATAAAGCAGAGACGCCTTCGTTGGTTATAGTAGTCAAGATGGGTTAGACCTAAAAGTGCAACTTCGGGATGAAAAGTAACTACACATGTGTATCCGGGACCGAATTACGCACTCATATAAAACCATAGGATCGTTGTTAAAATGTTCAAGGTGAAAGGATCGTGAGAAAGGGTTGGAGGTTGTACAGGGACGGATACAGCTTTTTGAGAAAGGGGGGGGGGGGTTGGGGGCGCACCCCTGCAACCCCCACTCTGGATCCGCCTATGACCGTAACTTCAAGGTTGGTCAGTGAAACGAAACACGAATTACGTTATGTACGACGTATGTAGCCTCCGTCTTTGGTTCGACACGGGGAAGGTGCACAGTGTCACGCCTCTCATAGATCATAATGACTCCAGTCTGTGATTGTGAACCAGTTTCCATTTAACCCAGTGGATCTCTTCGAAACCAGAATGCCTATTTTTATAAACCATCAGCCGGTCTTTCCAGTTTTTGAAGAAAGCGTGGGACACGTTTCATATCGTTGAGCTTGAACAAGCTTTTTTACGTCTGCGAAATGCCATCTATTCAAGATCGTGAGTAGTTCGTACTGAAAGGGTATTCTTCCCGTTTACCAAGCCAGGTAACGATTGAAAGAATGAGATACATACAAAGTCACCTGACAGCATGCCTGACTTCAGTCCAGTCACTCCGTCGAATAAAGCGACTAGGTTCTCGCCTTCATCACACCGCGCCAGGTTGCGGCGACATGTTTTGCTTGACGGGAGACGCCTGAAATGAAAGAGTTGTCGCGGTAGGGGCGGTATAGCGGGGAAGCAAGGAACACAAGTCGACGATCGAGAAACACACGTTTATTCTCGGGCGACCACATCGGCATGGCGGGATGTTACAGTATAGTGTATAGGCGTATGAAGAGATACTGCTACTGCTACAAGAGCAGGTAAGTCATTCACTGAGATTCACCTGTACATGAGGACGCCCTGGTAATGTGATACATAAAATATGTATTGGTGAAGGAGGATGCGTTAGATGGAATTCCATCCCAGCTTGATAGTCTGGTATTAACGCTTATCATCAATCAATATTTAACTGTGGAAATATAAAACTAAACACGATTCAGCGATACTAAACTGAATATCACCTGTCTGTCAAAAACGGTAAGGTATGGTTGTCGTGGAACAGCAGAAATTCTGTAAGGATATATTGTATCAAAAGACAGATGTCATTCGTTATTCTGTGAATTAGTAACTTGTATCTGTTATATCTAGCCCAACCGTCTCAGCAAGCCTTCCTCTTGACCCCACCCCCCCACACACTTTACCATAACGCTTCCTGTTTGTGTGCTTGCCACGCCCATATCGAGTATAACTTGTTGCGTCCCAAAATTAGATCATATTCTGTTTACAAGAGCCTATACTGTATTGAAATGCTTGTCTCGCTGTGTACAATGGAGTGGACACTTGATAACAACGTCAGATATGAGGTAGATGGAACAAGTTTGTAATCAGGGTCCATGCGGACTGAAGATACCCGCCCTGAAGAGACAGTTGTCCGAACAGCAAATTCCCATACGTCTAAATTGAATGTACGCGATAGCGTTATTTTATAACGTGTTTTTCTTGCATGGGAAGTGTGTGCATCATGATGAAGGTTGGGGCACTTGTACGCTCAATACGTTCAGCGATCGGTGATCTGTGACCAACAATCTATTCAAAGAGCCACCAGGATATGTGTATTGGTGTTCTATCGAATGTATTGAATCACAGGTCGTGTGTGTATTCAGTAGCCCGAACCTGTCTGAACAACCACAAGCCGATTCACGTTTCCTTGTGTGTCATGATAAATATATTATGACATTACATTCATCCACGTGTTTTATTGGCAATATGCAAATATAAACCGGAGGACAAAAAAAAACCAAAAAGACAAAAAAACGAAAACAAAACACAGCGGCCATACGTGTTTCTTCTTCTAGTCATAACCACTGCAGGGATTCTGACCAGAGGTTCCGTCTTCTCGTCTTCATTTAAATACATTTACTCCTAATTCACACACGCCGCGTTAGTATTGATCTTCAGTAACCCATGCTTGTCGTTAGGGGCGACTAACGGGATCGGGTGGCCAGGTTCACTGACTTGGTTGACACATGTCATCGGTTCCCAATGCTCGTGATGTCAGTCACTGGATTGTCTGATCCAGACTATTATCTACAGACCACCATCAAATGGCTGGAATATTGCTGAATGCGGTGTTTAAAACAAACACAAACAAAAGTACATCATTTATTAAAAGCTCTTTTAAGATCATGTTCCTCATCGCTATTCCAGGGGCGGTGGGGTAGTCTAGTGGTTAAAGTGTTCGCTCGATTGTCTGATCCAGACTATTATCTACAGACCACCATCAAATGGCTGGAATATTGCTGAGTGCGGTGTTTAACACAAACACAAACAAAAGTACATCATTTCTTAAAAGCTCTTTTAAGATCATGTTTCTCATCGCTATTCCAGGGGCGGTGGGGTAGTCTAGTGGTTAAAGTGTTCGCTGAGTTCGATTCCCTACGTGGGCACAATGCTTGAAGCCCATTTCTGGTGTCCCCCGCTGCGATATTGCTGGAATATTGCTAAAAGCGGCGTAAAACTATACTCACTCATTGCCATTCCGTTAGTGGATTCACAAAGAAAATCATGTACCGTTGTAACATCGATTTGGTTGTTTCTCGCATGGCGGAAGTGAGCTCGACATTCATCCACACATCTAGATATTCGAGACAAACATTTAACCTCGGTTAGCGACGTACCCTCTATACGGAAACCTATAAGAGTGTTTTCTGTAGCATAGAAAAATACAATATAATGATGCACATATTTCCTAAAACAATGCCTCATCGCTCTGTAGTATTACTAGTAGAACAATTTGTGTGGAACATACACGATGTTCACTTCATGAGTTCCTTTCATATGTATTTCCTTTTTTATGTTTATTTTTATGGTCGATAACTGTATCCGGGGATTTCCGAGCTTTCCCTCTATGTTTAACATTTTGAAATTTGAACACGAATTATGCAGCTACGAAGTAGGAATGAGTGTGTGTCAGTGAGTTTAGTTTTACGCCGCTTTGAGCAATATTCGTGCAATATCACGGCGGGGGACACCAGAAATGGCTTCACACATTGTACCCATGTGGGGAATCGAACCCGGGTCTTCTGCGGAACGAGCGAACGCGTTACCCACTAGGCCACCCCATCGCCCCTGCGAAGTGTGATGAGACTACTCATAAAGCCGTGTCATGGCTCATCCTCCTCAAGCAAACATTCAGGTCAACGAAGCATGATACTGATTCACTCGTCTTCTGTGTAAATAATCATCCTGAAAAAAAGAGGTGCGAGTGCACTATTGTGAAGTATCTTTCATCAAAGAATTTTTTGTTGTGCACAATATTTTCTTTTAAATTTTAAATATGTCGCAGTAGATTTTATGCAGTGTCATACCAGCTACTCGAGTATCTGTTACAAAGTTTTGAATTACCCGTTTCAGTCTATGTATTGCGCCTGGCTGTAGCCAACGTTGGTGTCTGCGGTATGTTTACCTTAATCTCACCCTCCCCGAATGTCTGCGTTACTGGGACAGCCTTTGTATACTGCGATATACAACAAGATGAAACCTTTTGAGATCTTTTGTTTTGAAAACGACCCTTTGATATATTTTGGTTGTTGACTGGAAGAGACTGTAACAATTCATCGTGTTCAAAAGAGAAATAACACTCGTGAATCGGTATTTATGAACACATTTATGATTACATTTTACCAATTGTATGGCATGGAGATTTATAGTTCAAGTTGATTTGTACCCGTCAAGGTTGTACACTTAACACCTGAGCCCTGACTAGGTCTTAGATTTATTGTGCCCCTATATACAACGCTAAGGTATGGCTATAACAGTTAAGACAGTGTAAAGAATAAAATGTATTAAGTCAAAACCAGATATTAATATACTGACGTACATAAAGTACACACTTGGTGTTTTGGGACTATTCCCAATAAAACCATAAATATTTTGCTAGCAATGTTGTAATTGTGTACAATATCTGTGATGTTTTGGATACACTTACACAATGTTTGTGACAAGGCAGAACCAAAACACTTTTTAAATATTAATGCTGTTTGATAGAAAATATTTTACCCAAGAATCAGGTGTGTACTTTCTTTGAACATCAGTTTAGTTTTTTATAACATACCGAAACATATTCCATCCGTAATAGGCAAAATAAAAGTGGAAACTATATCGATGGAAATCATTCATGACACCGGGTGTTCACGGAAGGGGTAAGCACGCCCTGTCCGACCGGTAGCATGATAATCATCCCCACGTCGTCAGCAGAGGATCGGTAAAGTTCCCAATTAATAATAAGATTAAATGGAATGGAATAAAATTAGTAACTGAAGCCCTTATGTGTACAATAAACAGGGATTATCTACACTTGCTCAGAAGCTAAGGACCGTTAAAGTTCCAATTTGTCAATTAAAAGAAATTAAACGATTTTCATAATTTACGAAAAGGACGTGAAACATTTTAAATTTGTTAACATATCACGATAATGAAACCCAAGGCACAATTCCAAAGGACAATCCCGGGTACATGATCGTCAACATACACGCACACAAACAGACACTAAGTAAATATCAGTTTAGTCCGAACGTGACACAAACAGAGGACGTGGGCCATAGCTTCTAATAATAATTAAACTTGGAAGTGGTTTGACATGTTAGCGTATACTGCCTGACCTTCATATACAATCAGTAACACTACTTTAATATGTTCAAATGTATTCCCCCATGGAGTTATTTCATTACCGGCAGTTGAAGTGGTTGAAGCTGAACAACGCGGTTCTCTTTAAACCGCGGCGACTAGGGCCTGACTACCTGCTCCTATAATTTACATTACGAAAATCGGCGTAACTCCATACTCACTCGCTACCCATGAAATCAGCTGTTCTGAATTATTGTTATATTCCCCATCAAAAGTTTAGACTCACAAGTGTAAATGTAGCCACTTACTTCAGTCAACTATTCTAAACTTGATTTTGCAAATATTCCATTCAGTTTAAAGGTACTCTTTACTCATGAACGAATGTATTGTAAAAGAAATTCGTAACGTTGAAAAGATTATTGTCATGAGTTCAGTAAATGATGAAAATCAGTGAAAATTGTCGAATTCTTAACGAAACTTTACACCAAAACGCAGCTGTTCACATGGACGATATTTGCAAATTTAAAATGTTTCACGTCCTTTTCGTAAATTATGAAAATCGTTTAATTTCTTTCTTTGCATGATCCTCATACAATTCATCTACATAAAGTTTGCAGTTGGTTCCCCCAAGTTAGAGGAGAAATTCATTTTCGATGTAACCATATACATGTATATATATATACATAACATATAGTGAGTGCTTTAGGTGATACTAAACTTTTGATGAGTAGTATATTTAGATAAGCTGTAAAAGCATTCGGTCGTCACGCCGACTAGCCGCTCCTATAATTTATGTTACGAAATTCGGCTCAACTCCATACTCACTCACTCACACATCCACTACTCGTGAAATCAGCAGTTCTGAAGTATTATTTATTAGATAATTTACTTTATGAAAATAGGTTCATACTCAGCTGTAAAGCATTCGGTCGAAATCACGCCGACTAGCCGCTCCTGGAGAATCAAACCCGTGCACTCTGCGTGACGACAAAACAGCTGACCACAAGGTTTAATTTACTTTATGAAAATCGGCTGGTTAACTCCATACTCACTGACACACCCACTACCAATGTTGTGAAGTGTTATTGATTAGGTAAATTGAGGATAATATCTGAAATGCATTGGTACTTGTTGGTCCCCTGCCTGGCGCGTATTTCGTCCCCATACCAATACACAAGCGAGGCCATTGTCAGGGATCACCAGAAATGGACAACACATGCTAGGTTATGTTCACGTGGAGAATCAAACCCGTGCCCTCTGCGTTATGGACAACTCTTTAGACGACAAAACAGCTCGACCACAAGGTTTCCCAAGATACTCACTATGATCGGTATCGATCATTTGGTATAGTCTGGTTAACACACACACACACACACACACACACGCACGCACGTTCACACAAAATTACTAGCGTGTCTATAAAAATAGACCCCGATATGTGGGTGTCGCTCACTGGATTGTCTGCTTCAGACTCGATTAATTACAGACCTCATAGTTTGAATATTGCTGAGTGCGGCGTTAACCAACCAACCAACCCTGAAGGTACGATACATTCCCACGGGATATCAATGGGCCTGCATTGTCTCATTTCACCACATTAAACGACATTACCCATTCATTTCGGGTTTAGACGTCAGCGTTATAATACCGACCAGTTGGTCTCATGGGCGAGTAAACACTGTAAGCATCACCCTCGCTTTCCTCATTCAACCGTTGTGTGCATTACCTCAAGCTATCTGGAATTCAAAATGGACTCGACCACGTGGAACTAAGTGAACCTCTGAACTAACATGGAGGCCGGTACCGACCGAACAAGTCAAAATGTCATTAGAAGTCCACACAATAGTCCTGCAATAGTGTCTGTATATATACAACATAGCGTACACTTCACTTCAAACGTCAACGATAGACACCTGTGGCCAGGACTCTACTGTCGGGTTCGTCATAACGTTCTGCGGTTGACTTGTTAACTTTAGGAGAGGTCCCCAGCCGCCTATGGGAGGAGGCTGCACGTAAACCGGGTCGGGCGGCTTCACCCTGTCATTCTGCTGACTGGGTGTCGGGTTCACCTGTACCCGAGTCTATAAGGCATCCCGTTAATCGGGATGTGAGGTGAGGTGAAATTGGGTTTAACGTCGTGCTTGAGAATATTTCGCTCATATGACGACGTGCATGCTTGTGTATGTGTATGTGCGGCTGCTTGTACTAGCCCAGACTGAAGCTGGTTTTATAGTGCTAGCCCACTGAGATACCATGCCGCAGTGAAGCATGAATACCCCACTCAGACACATTATACTGACTCCGAGACGACCAGCCCTTGTTGTACCCATTAATGCCGAGCGCCAGGCAGGGACCAACAAGTACCATATCTTAACGTCTTTTGGTAAATCGGGATGTGACGACAGTCCAAAATGAGTAGTCCAGTTAACGTCCATGAGTATCTTTTAACATTAGTGAGATGGGGGTAGCCTAGTGGGTAAAGCGTTCACTCGTCACGTAGACCCAGGTTCGATTCCCCGCATGGGTACATTGTCACAAGCCCATTCCTAGTGTCCCCCGCTGTCATATTGTTTGAATATTGCTAAAAGCGGCGTAAAACCATATTCACTCACTCACTTCCTGAGAGAGGGTATGACTCATCAGTTCTACCCCTTGTATTTCTCAGCTGATGTGTTCACACCGTTGGTGGTGATGACTGTATTGATATATTCAAGTGTTTTACACGAAGAGGCTGACTGCTGTTGTTGACAGCTGCATATGCTTACTTTAAACAACGATTTTTCTGCGTATACTGAAGATTCGGCATTGCAGCAAAAACGAACAAAAAACACGTTAGTGTCTTACAGTGAAGGTGTATTCAGAGGTATATGGTATTCCACGCTTACACTAATCTAACATAGTAATACCTCTTGAGACTCGAAACCTTTTCTCCGTAACGGTCATCCGATTACTGTACACTGTTATGTACCTGCACAATTAACTTGGGGAAATGCAGGATAACTGTTAAATAACAAAGCAGTAGACTAGTGTGCAGAATACTTGGAAGAATCATATTAAGGAGATAATCTCCACAATCGACTTAACAGTGAGTGAGTTTAGTTTTACACCGCACTCGGCAATATTCCTGCTAAATGGCGTCGGTGACTTAACAAAGTAAAGATAAATTATATAATAATACAGTAACTTAATGTCAGTGTTACATTGAAAATTTTAACAATACATTAAAGTGATTTTAATCAAGTATTATCGTCATGCGTCGCAGTGAGAAACTGCTATCGAATTTATTGTCAAGGTGACCTTGGATATATACGGTTGTAATAGAAAACGTCCTGGTTGCACAGGGTTAGGTTACATGTCTGGTTTGGTACATTGTGGTGCCCCTGTTTACAGCGTGCTGTAAGGGAAGATGTGCTTTGTACTTTCTTATGGCTCTTCTCTTAAAATATCTCTAGAAAAACAGTATGTGACGTTGTAAACAATGTAGAGGATTATAAACCACGTGACATATAGAATAGCATCTATGTGTTGTCGTCGACAAAACAGGTGTAACTGTCCGGTAGATATTTAACTTTGTTTTGTTGCATGCTGATAACCACGCTGAAACGAAACATAAATCAGTCCGTACAATAACTGAAACCAAGAAACAAAAAAGAGATGGGATGTAATTACCAAGAGTACTCTAAAGTTAACTAACTTGTCGTAAGAGGCGACTAACGGCATCGGGTGGTTAGACTCGCTGACTTGATTGGCACATGTCATCGTATCCCAATTGCGTAGATCGAAGTTTATGCTGTTGATCACTGGATTGTCTGGTCCAGACTCGATTATTTACAGACCGCCGCCATATAGCTGGAATATTGCTGAGTGCGGCGCAAAACTAAACTCACTCACGCACTTTAAGAACGAGTTTGATAAATATAACGTAAACACCAAGATGGGATTATATTTTTATTCCACAATCGTTCCTCGAACTGTTCATTGTTGTGGATGTAAGGCATTCTTCGACAAACGGCGGTCTGTAAATGGTCGAATCTGTACACGCAATCCAGTGATTGACATCATGAACATCGATCCACGCAACGATGACGATGCGCTCTCGACCAGCACTGCTTCACGGACTGCTGAGTACAGGTCTATCTTCTGACATAGAAGACCCGCGTCCTCTATATAACGCTCGCCTTACTGTTAGTTTTGAGACGAGGGTGATTAAGCTGAACATGCGTCTTTAAAGGGCCGTCAAGCTAAGCCATATAATATACTCTATCATAACACAAAAGCACAGCACTTTTGTGTATTTATTTAAATCATGTGTGTGTGACTAGCCAAGCTGAACATGTCACATTCAGATAGAAGAATCACACGAGCCTTTATGGACGTCTTGGCGTTCGACGTGACCCCTGTCCTGATATACAAATGCTATATACATTGATTTATATTGTCGACTCGTAACTTGACTTGACCTATTTTCCCCACTTCTTCAACACGTTTCAACCACAGCATGTCATTGTTTGGGTGGGAGGGAAGACGCTTGCATTGGGGGCAATGGGTCAGCTTATCTTGCTCTGGCGTCTCAAGGTAATTGCAGGCTAATGTCATTAAAACACATACAGTCTGTTTATTCGTATACACAGTTGCTGTCTTGCGCCCACGCTTTATCGGTCCTCGATTTATATAACTAATACAGCGTTGTCAACATGACATGGAGTGAGTTAGTGAGTTTAGCTTTACGCCGCACTCAGCAATATTACATCTGTATGGCGGCGGTCTGTAAATAATCGAGTCTGGACCAGACAACCGAGTGATCAACAGCATGAGCATCGATCTGCGCAACTGGGAACCGATGACTTGTGTCAAGCTGACCACCGAATCCAGTTAGTCGCCTTAGCATGGGTTACTGAAGATCAATATTCTAACCCGGACCTTCACGGGTAACATGACAAGGACACATTGATGTGGACACCTTGTATTCAAAAGAATTAGCATGTTTTCTTCTTTATGTCACGAAGCGAATAGATGCAAAATTGCGTATGCGACATTAAGCAACATCGATGTCACTGTAACTGAAATTGATCACAATCAGGACATCAGTAGTGCTAATAAAAACATTTTCTTTAATATCCTATATGTTAGGTTTGTTACAATAATGCCAGTATGTATGACTTGGAGCTTTCCCCAATTATTTATGTGAAGGGTAAATGAAGGTATTTCCTCATTCTCCTTGTTTAATCGGCCAAGTATGTGTTTTACAAATTTGGGGGACTTCCAGACAGTGCATCTATTTCTGTCCTTTGTTGCAGGTTGTTCCTCCTCCTGGTAGGGCTCGCTGCTGTGGGCGTCACTGTATGGAGTGTGAGGGAGGACAACAGGACTCTTCATTCGGGTGAGAATGGCTATGGATGTTTTAAATGTTTTTTTAAAGTTATGGTTATGTTAGGCTCCCCATGAGTGAGTGAGTGAGTGAGTTTGGTTTTACGCCGCTTTTAGCAATATTCCAGCAATATCACGGCGGGGGACACCAGAAATGAGCTTCTCACAATGTACCCATGTGGGGATTCGAACCCGGGTCTTCGGCGTGACGAGCCAACGCTTTAACCACTAGGCTAACCCACCGCTCCCGGCTCCCCATGAGATATTCGGGACTGACTATTTTGTAACAGGGGATGGGGGCTGGTATTAAAAGAAAAAATCCAAACTAATTTTTTAGTATATTCCTGAAAATGCTTGAAATACGGAATTAACTTTCACGTTTTAGACAAAACAATGACTCATTCGCTGGGCATATATGCGTTCCTGGAAAATGTTGTTCGTGGGTTGCAACTATTTATTTTATCTGCAAAGAAATCGTGTATTTGGAGAAGAAGTGTTAGACAGAGGACAAACAAAATCACTGGTATCACTAAAATACCAAAAGGCAAAGAACTTTGAATCAAACTCGCTCACTCACTAGATTATCTATATGCCGTCGTTCTGAAGGGACAACACAGAAACTGTGGCGCCAAAGACCATTCATTTCTACATTCTATTAATATTTCAGCTCTGTTGTCAATAAAACAGCATGGGCAAAGCGCACAGCTAAAATACAAGTTCTTGGACTGGAGAAAAGGTAGGCGTAGATGTTTTTCTTTAGAAAGTCGTTCTGTAATATCGTTATTCGTAGTTAGTGTGAAAGCAGTGGAATTCAATTGAGTGAGTTAGTGAATATGTTTTTACGCCGCCTTTAGCAATATTCCAGCAATATCACGGCGGGGGACAGCAGAAATTGGCTTCACACGTTGTGCCTTTGTTGGGAATCAAACCCGGGTCTTTGGCGTGACGAGCAAACGCTTTAACCACTAGGCTATCCCACCGCCATTTGAATTCAAGATGTAACTGCACTTGCATGTTGACGTAGCTTCTCATAAACTATGGTCACAGTTCACCAGGCCTCAGTTAAGGCGGTATCGTGAGCATTCGGCTTTCAAAAGATGGTTTGTCTACACGAGAACTGATAATCCAATAATGTCTAAATTGAAAAAACATAAATTATCGTTAAAATCACCAGTCCTGTTTTTCCAGATCCTTCTGAGAAACTGCTTCACTTTGGAAGTAGAAAAAACAGGTTTACACATCCGGAGAACCAACCCCCTGTCCAAGGCCAACCAAACGAAGCACTTCAACCTGCCCTGCCTCAAATGAACCAGTTTGAACATCAGATGCAGAAGTTTAATCCAGGTCAGCCTAAAGCAGTGCCCGACCAAGACAAGCCCAATTGGGCACCTGCTGTGCCAAATGAGCAGAACTTGTACCATCGTCAACCGGAGGCAGGTCAAGACCAAAGGGAGTTTAATGGGGCGCCTCAGCCCGCCCTGCCACAGGGGCAAAATAATAATCCTGGCCAACCTAATGCAGCTCCTAACATGGGCCAGCTGAACATGGAACCTCAACTCGCCCTGCCACAGGGGCAGAATCGTAATCCTGTTCAACCTAATGTAGCTCCTAACATGGGCCAGCTGAACATGGAACCTCAACTCGCCCAGCCGCAGGGCAGAATCGTAATCCTGGTCAACCTAATGCAGCTCCTAACATGGGCCAGCTGAACATGGAACCTCAACCCGCCCATCCCCAAATGCACCAAGTTGAACTTCAGGGGCAGAATTTGAATAACGCCCATCCTCAAGCAGGTATTGGTCATGTAGACGAGGCAAACCAACCTGTTGTGCCACAAGTGAACCGAATGATACCGCGGATGGAGGACTCACATCCTGGTGTGCGTCAAGGCGTACCTCAGGCTGCCCAACCTCAGGTGAACATCGGTGCGCCGTCTGGGGTGATGAGCTACCAGTAATACTCTCGTGGCATCATATCGGAGGACCTCAAGATATGACCATTACGTGTGGACCTCGCAAGTGTTTCATGGTAAAAGACCACGAAGAGTGGAAAAACACGACTACATGGTAATTTCAATTGAAGTTCATATAACTGTACTCATATTTTGTGATTTATCACAATACAGATATACCATGTCATGAAATTAGAAGTGTTGACATGCATGCATAAACAGTGAGACAATAGCGAAGTTTTAAAATCATGACAAAACATAATTGTTCAGATCTGTTTCTAAGTCATTCAAATTTGACATCAAATATGATATGTTGACAATAAGAGCGCATCAATATTTTTAACAGGTTAGGTGAAATGGGGTATTCAATATATTTGCACTAATATAGCCACGGATAGGCTTTCGAAAGTGTAAAAGCGAGTGTCATGAAAATGAAATTCGCTCCATTAAGAAATGAATCGGAAAACAGTTAGTCTGAAATGAACCTTCAAGACGTTTGCTAGGGTTTGAACGTGCTGAAGTAAGTGTTGCATTTTTAGAAGACTTATCATGACATTTCATTTTCCAGGCCATCACCTTTTATGGAACTGACTTTGGCTTCGGTGGTCTGCCTATACCTCGAAAGCCGGGACATCTATGGTCTGTAATTCATGAAGAATCTCCAAAGAATAATGATTGGTTGTTTTCCGCTAAATCCACCATGTCCCTATTTAATCTGACGGCAACCTTCAAGCGACAGTCTCACTACTCCTTCCCGACCATGTGGCTCCGTGTGAGTATGCAAGACAACCAGATTGTGCCTGGACTGACTGACTGAGTTTGGTTTTGCGCCGCTTGTAGCAATATTCCAGCAACATCACGGCGGGGACACCAGAAATGGGCTTTCCACATTGTACCCATGTGGGGATTCGAACCCAGATTGTGCCTGGATATATTGTTGAAACCAGAGGAATAATAAGTTTTTGTTGCCGGATTGTACAGCTGCCATGAGCTGCCGAACACATCGCGATACCGGTTTGGTATAGCCCCCCAACAATGCCTATCGTAACAGGCATATTGGTAATGTGTAATCGATGACATATGACAGGTTAATTCCACGTACCCCCCTCCCTCAGCCCCAGAGTTTTTTCTGGTCGAGTATTCGTTGTTTTGCGTCATATTGCTGTGAACATTGCTCATTGCCGCCCGATAATACAACCCTCATCAACGTTACCTCCAAACGTGGGGTTTCTGGTGTCCCCCGCCGTGATATTTCTGGAATATTGCTAAAAGCGGCGTAAAACCAAACTCAGTCAGTCAGTCCAAACGTGGGGATACCGGTTTGGCTCAGCAATGCTTATCCTAAGAGGCAACTGAATTGATTTGGTCGAGATTCGGTTACGTACAAACTGGCGTCATACAGCTGGAATATTGCTGATTGCCACTTCAAGAACACGCCAACAAACAACCCTGAAACAAAGCCTAAATTAGGAGATAAACATCATGTGTTGGTCAATTTCCGGGTGTTATTGAGTATTTGAAGCACGGAATATTTCATTTGAAACCTCTTGTATCCCCGTGCTTCAAATACTCAATAACACCCGGAAATTGGCCAACACATGTTTATCGACATTGTAAACACAAAAGTAAACCAAAACGTCCACACACGTTTTTGTGTCTGCACTCATTAACATCGAGTGAAATGTCATCAGCCGGCCGTTTCGGCTGTCTCTTATGGTAGCATCTGGAACTGCGCATTTGTGACGTCATTCGGACTTTACTTCACAATATGATTTGAATGACGTCACCACTGTTGACGACGTAACAATACAATGGTGTGTGCGATGTTTGTACGCATGAATACGCAGCGAATTGTCTTGCAATTTCAGGGAATCGAATACCATTCGATCGTGTGTTTCAACCAATCAGATTAAGGAACATGGTGACTTTTGGTTTACAATGCATCTTGTGTCTTGGCTTTGCATGCCGACCATTTTCACAGTGGATATATTCAGTTCTACTGATGTAAGCCATTGGTGCGAATTTTCACCAGATATTTTTGTCTGAATCATTCAGTCAGGAAATGGGCGACTGACCTGAGTACGTGTGGAACTAGTCGCGAACTGTTGCTCATATACTAGTCCCAGTAAAACTGTTGCCATTTTAACGACCCTTCCATTTGTCTACCGGAGATATTTGAGCTGTGAAGGGAAATAGATAAATATGTTATGTGCAATACGAAAAATCCATCATTATCCTTTGAATATATAATTAGTAATCAGTGAAGACTTTTAATGTTAAAGAACACCAGAAACAACAACATGGACTATTGTTTGCTCAACACAAATCTGTCAAAATATTTGGTATTTCTAGAAAAATGGGTAGTCTTGAATAAAGACAAGAAGCATCCTGAAAACACTTTAGCAAAGAATGAAAAGTTGCCCTCGCTAAATTGTTCGTTCACATTTCACTATAAGTAATGATTGTGACTTGCAGGATGAGCGGGAGTTGACCGACACCCAGTTCATGGTGTCCATCGCTGAGAAGAACCGGTTGAGACGAGGAGGTCTGGCTCCTGTGGTGTTTGTCCACATGGACTGCCACACCGCCTCCGACCGCAGCCATTACATGCGACTGCTGCAACGATACATAAAAATAGACTCCTACAGCGACTGCGAGCACAACAAGGATTTCCCTGCCAAGTAGGTATTCACCAGCAACTTACTGGCAGATCCAACGTCCATTCTGTCATTGACTCCAACGTCCGTTTAGCCATAGTGTTTAAAGACCATTTCATCTCAGTGTCCAACGATCATTTGTCACTGTGTTCAATGTCATAATATTTAACGTCATTTGTTTCATGTGTTCAACGTCCGATTGGCCATGGCGTCAATTGGCCTCTGTAGTCATATCCATAATGTACAAAGGGTCCATGTAGTCGGATTATTCAACGTCCATTCAGCCATAATGTACAAAGGGTCCATGTAGTCGGATTATTCAACGTCCATTCAGCCATAATGTACAAAGGGTCCATGTAGTCGGATTATTCAACGTCCATTCAGCCACAATGTACAAAGGGTCCATGAGGTCAGATTCTTCAACGTCCATTCAGTGATAATGTGTAGCACTACACGTCCATTTATTCATAACGTTCAACGGGTCACTTCAACCATAGCATTCGACAACCTTTGTGTAGGGAAAATGTTCAGTCTTCACACAGTTGTGATTGTCTAGCATGTGTTGGTGGTTATGAAACTGCACTAAGAACAGCAACCGTTTTGATAAAACAAAATATATGGCGTCTCCGGAATTGACTTTGAGATGCGTCAATAATCATCTTTCACTGTCGTAATTTTATCTTGCAGTAACTTGACTTTCGGATCTCTGAAGGGTATGGCACCTATGTTGTCGGATGGTTTCTTCAAACTTATAGCCCAGTACAAGTTTACGTTCGCCTTTGAAAACGCTGTGTGCGACGATTACATTACAGAGAAGTTCTGGAGACCACTACGACTTGGGATCGTTCCCATTGTTTTTGGATCCTCAACAATTAAGGTGAGCATAATTTCAGCTTATGGCGATGAGGACCGAAATCCCAAAAGGAGCTTATGTTATGAGGCATTGTCAGATAACTTTCGACCTCGTGTTGACAACGGCTTTTGGAAATTTAAGAGGATGTTTCATACATGAGAGGACAAAGAATTGTATCATGGCGTTGACATACTGCAGTGTTTAATGGCTGGATATTCTGGTCGATCGATGTCTGGTTTGTTTACAGGTGGCCGTCGCATGGCAGGCCTACTGCTGTGCGGCAGGCTAAGTAAACTTAGGCTCAGTATTGTTCGTTATACTGCTATACCGAGTTTAACAAACCCTAGTAGAAGGCGCGTCAGTTAACCTTTTCAATTGACCAATCAGAACACAGTTTACAAAATCTCGAAAGTTAACATTCGCACATACCGTTGGAACCTTTACCTGGAAAACGTTTGTACTCGATCGATCCTACAGCGTCTGAGGAGCCGCAGTCAACGGTGCAGAGTTGCGTCTGTTAGGTGTGGATACACATCTTGGCTTGCAATGATTATAAGGAAGGTTTGTAACCACAGGTTTCATCACAGCGAGGCGATGTGAGGTCCAGCTGGGATTAACGTCATACTGATTAACTGACAATGTTGAGGTGTTTGCAGCAATGGTCATAAAAGTCTTTGTATTTTCAAAATATACTTTCTGAATTTAAACTATTTATGTTTTGTATCCAGGATATGGCTCCTTCGGACCACTCAATCATCGACATTCGGGACTTTAAGTCAGTTAAAGAAGTAGCAGATCTTATTACGTTCCTTGACACAAATGATGAGGAGTACCTGAAGTACTTGACTTTCAAACAGACAGGAGTCACAAACCCAGTACTGAAAGAGGAGCTGAGGAAACGAGACTGGGGAATTGGCAAAAGTTACCTTTCTCATTTTACCGGTTTTAACTGTTTTGTATGCGACAAACTTCATGAGATGAAAAACCAGGTTCGAAATGGTCAACCGGTGACTCAGTGGTCCGGCAAGTTTGACCATTACGGGTGTCCTGTGCCAAAGGTATTTGATGATCAAGGACGTTATGTGGTAGAGAACAATCTCTGGTTAGAACCCTTCTCATACGCTGAGTTTTATGAACATTCTCTTCGTTATCATATTGACAATAATATTAATGCAAATATAAGTGAAATTCACAAGTATGCAGACAGGCTGCTGAAACAGGCCCTACGGGATGGAATCAGACTTCCATTATAGGTGAGTGAATGAGTGAGGTGGGGTTTACGCCGCTTTGAACAATATTTGAGCAATATCACGGTAGGGGACACCTGAAATGGGCTTCACACATTGTGGCCATGTGGGGAATCGAGCCCGGGCCTTCGTTGTGACGAGTGAACTCTTTAACCATTAGGCTACCATGCCTCCCCTTCCGGTGTAGGTGAAGCTTGTGGTGAATCATCTGCGTTATTCGTCAGTTTGCTTCCATGATGTTTCTAGGTATTGAGCGTTCTCAGTGAGGTCACCGGTGACGTTGAAGTAGTTGTAGTTATAGCACAAAGCGTGCAGTAAATACGAGTATAGCGAACTCAAAGGGACGAATAATATTAGTTCGTTATAACCGTAGTTAGTTATAACCGTAGTTCGTTATAGCGTTGTTCGTTATAGCCGTTGTTCGTTATAACGCATTTCGACGGAAATATACAGAAGGTTGCCAGGACACGAGAAACAGTCGTTATATCGTTACAAGCATGTTCGTTATAGTTTACTGTATATGGGCATCGACGATCCATCGTCACTTATCAGCATACCATTGTGTTTCATTAGATACTCTCGGGCCTGTAAGTACCATAGATTGTGTTCGCGTAACAAGGCGCTAAATGGCCGTACAGTCATCATTTCTCCATGGGCGAGAGAAGTGCCCTATTTACAGTGAGTATGGTTTTACGTCGCTTGTAGCATTATTCCAGCAACATCACGGCGGGCGACACCAGAAATGGGCTTCACACATTGTACCCATATGGGGAATCGAACCCGATCCTTCGGCGTGACGAGCGAACGCTTTAACCATCAGGCTATCCCACCGCCCCCTATTTACAGAAGCGAGATTGAGAAGATATTGTTTCACTTAAGTTCGGAAACAAGGCTTTGCTGGTGAAAGGGTTCGGTGGTATCTGTCGTAATTTACATACAGTGTAATTTGAATACACAATGTCGGTAAGAGGGTTTTCGAATGCAGCGTAAGTTACATTTGAAGACAGTTTTATTCCAAATACAAAGTATATCACATTTGACAACTTTATAGAAGGAATTGTGTATGCACAACGGGAATTTACACTTGTCAGAGGGATACAAAAAGTTCGTTAGAGCGCTGGCTTTGTGTGCTGGCAGTTAGATTCCTCACTCTAAGAGTGTTTGTTCGAATCCCGGAGGGGATTCAACCCCAAAAGTACTGAATTCTGTACTTTACTGCCAAAGTGTACTTCCAAATAAGACATATCTTGCTCTGTTAATTTCCTGTTTAACGCGGTGCTCAGTAATATTCCAGCGAGTGCGGCGTTCTGTGAAAAATCAAGACAATTCAGTGATTGCCCATCGAGATATGCTCATTATACATGTATTATAGATACTTCTCGAGGTAATACATATTACGAACTACACATTTCAGCCACTGAGCTAAATTACCTGTGTCTTTCGACGATTGGGATATATGTGAATCGACCTTCGTTATACACGTATATCGAGATATAAGTAGTTTCATCCACTGAGATACGTCCGGGTTGAGACCGTAGAAATGCCATTGTGCTTCGTTTGTAATGTGCATTACATTTATAATACGCAGTGACATTGCTATTGTGTAACTCGAGATATAGGTGGCTATATATTTATATTGATATATGATTTGCCTTTGGTCAAATGACATGTCCAAATCATACGTGTCAGGTCTTTAACATGTCACCCGTGAAGATCCGGTGTAGAATAGGTCTTCAGCAACCTATGTGCTTGCCATAAAAGGCGACTATGCTTGTCGTAAGAGCCGACTAACGGGATCGGGTGGTCAGTTTCGCTGACTTGGTTGACACATGTCATCGGTTCCCAATTGCGCAGATCGATGCTCATGCTGTTGATCACTGGATTGTCTGGTCCAGACTCGATTATTTACAGACCGCCGCCATATAGCTGGGATATTGCTGAGTGCGGCGTAAAACTAAACTCACTCACTCACTCACTTTAACATGTCATATGTTGGAGTGATCTGTTTGCCAAGACGGTAGGTATAGCTCCATTTTGTGAAACATCGCCTTCCTGAGGATTTTATGTGAGTGGTTTTAGTTTTACGCCGCACAGCTATATGGCGAAGGATTTAGTGTTTTGAATGAAGGTTATTAAGGTTTGAGTTGAGGCTGAGTTAATTTTGTTGAACTGGTTTCGCGGAACCTGTACGCGAGGATACTGTAGTAAGAGACTGTAGCATATTACATTAGTAGTAACAGACAGTGAATCTGTATCGATGCCATTTAGTTTGGGCATACCTGGGAGTTTGGTTATGACGTCATATTGAACAGTATTTCACTTGTAACACATTGATTCATCTCAGAATATTATCATAGTTGCACAGGTGCGGAACGTTTTGTTAAACAACCTGCTTATGCTTGGTGGTGCCAAACCCATATGATCATAATCTGGATTCGAACCCCTATGGTATTTTAGTTATGGTGATGAGCGTGTTCTTGCCAGGTGGTCTGCCATCACTGCTCACGTGACCCTTATTGTATGACGTCAGCGTGGATACGAGGGATTGGGTGGCCATCAAGGGTGCTTTGGTGATGTTGGCTTCTACATAACGTGTATTTATAAATCTGCCAGCAATTGCCAGATATGAAAGATTTATAATTGATATTACTATTCGTTGTTATTATTTTATACATAGATACTGAGTTTATAACCTAAACTGGAGTATGATGTCTCATCCTAATGTACGAAAGTTATAAAAGTATATGGAATGTCTCACGTAACAGCTGATATCAATAAAGTTATTTTTCTATGATCTCATTAAGAGTTTGTTATATGTTTCTGTTGAATGTGTTGCGTGATGGAACTACAGCGGTGGAAGCCCATCTAGTGTATATGTGTTGTCACTCAAGATGAGTAAGTGAGTGAGTTTACTTTTACGCCACTTTTTGCAATAGTCCAGCAATATCGCATCGGGGGACACCAGAAATGGGCTTCACACACTGTAGCCATTTAGGGAATCGAACCCGGGTTTTCGGCGAACGCTTTAGCAACGCTTTAGCAACTAGACTACCCCACCGCCTCCACTCACGATGAACGATAGTAAAGACACGCTGTCTAAAAGTGTGTCCAATACACTTTGTCATGTACAGTAGCCTCTGTCATATTCTAAGTAACAGACATTCTTCCTGATTTCTTGGAATGTAGAAAGTGAAAGGCAATGCCCGTTGGAGCCGTTCTAGTCAGTGTTAATTCACGAGGAGAGATGGACATTTGATCAGTTCACGAAGACATAGGTCCTATGTGATCAGATTATCATATGATTCCATGTGATCAGCTTACTGAGACTGAAAATGGACGACATGATCATCTCATCATCACAGTTCCATGTGATCAGTTTGCTGAAAAAAAATCCAATGTAAAGTATTAGAAACTTAATTCTTTGCCTACGTTGGAGATATACGTGTCTTTTCATCCATCCTTAAAGTAAATTAATATGGTTAAGGCTTCATCAGAAATGGCTTCACATTTTGTACCCATGTCGGGAATCGAACCTGGAGCGAACGAAAGCTTTGCCCACTAGACTTATCCCTTTTTTAAAACAACAAAAGATTATGAAATACACGCATAAAAAGATGAAGCGTCAAACCTACACAATAGCCAAAATGTTTATTATTTCGTCGGCCTTAATAGAAAATGCAAGACATGCAGAGTATATAAGAGATGTAGCCCTTATACGTGCGCTTTATGGGTTGTCATATTGCAAAGGCAAAATGTGTTTCATTTATGAGGTGAGGTGAAATTGGGTTTGACGTCGTGCTTGAGAATATTTCGCTCATATGACGACGTGCATGCGTGTGTATGAGTATGTGCGGCTGCTTGTACTAGCCCAGACTGAAGCTGGTTTTTGATAGTGCTAGCCCACTGAGATACCATGCCACAGTGAAGCATGAATACCCCACTCAGACACATTACACTGACTCCGAGCCGACCAGTCCTTGTTGTACCCATTAATGCCGAGCGCCAGGCAGGGACCAACAAGTACCATATTTTAACGTCTTTTGGTATGACGTGGTCGGGGATCGAACCCGCGACCTTCCGCTCTCCGGGCGGACGCTCTAACCACTACACCACGGAGGCGGTCGTTTCATTTATGAACTTGTAACGTTTGAAATCGTCAAAATCCCATTCGTAATCACAATTACAAACCCGTTCACGTCTCAAAACCTCTTGTTATGACCAGACAATTTAGTACAGAGATAATAGAGTTTCTGATCCACAGACTAGATTAGTGAACCTGTTTGTTCGAAAGATTGACTAAACTGACGTCCAAATGAAACTTGGCATCTAAAACATGAAATTGTTAAAAGACAGATACCTTCACCTAAACGTAACCAAGACAAATCCAATCCCCAAACCCAACAGAATACAAATCCGTGTTATGGCTGCAGTTTTTTGCTCTTTTTTGTTTCAAGAAGTGATTTTGTTTTAGAACACACTTGACTTGCGTGTTTAGAACTTGCACGTGCACAAACGGTATAAAGACTGTTCACTTCTCATGTTAGAGATGCAGTATTAAGCGTACAACAGAAATGCCCTGGTTAACACAAGAACAGCGTGAGAGGGCCACAGGAATGTTGCAGCTGGAGGGACCACAGACCCATGCTGCAACATTGAACTGCTCCCGTCATGCTTTGGGCAAATTGGTCCAGCGATTCAGAATAACAGGTCGGACAAGAGACAGGCCAAGAATAGACAGACCAAGGGATCGCTACCTACGCCACTTGCATCTGCATAACATATTCCTGTCTGTGACGTCATTGGGGTCGAATGCGTTGAGTCGTGTGGTCGGAAGGTAGACAGTAGCAAGATGACTAAGGGCAGCCGGTATCAGAGCCTATAGATCCTACAGAGGCCCCCTGTTGTCCAATGAACATCATCGTCGAAGACTGAGATGGGCATAAACAATGAGGCGTTGGCGACGTCATAATTATTTGGCACCGCGTCCGTTCCAGCCGACGAGAGCAGGTCTGCATGTTCCATTCTGATGGCAGACAACGTGCTTATCGTCGAAGAGGAGAACGTACTGCTCGTTGTTGCATACAAGAGGTCGTACCCTTTGAGGGTAGGATTGCCATGATGAGGGGAGGCATTTGTGCTGACGAGTGGAAGCGATTGCTCATCTTTGAGTAAGTGAGTATGGTTTTACGCCGCTTTTAGCAATATTTCAGCAATATCACGGCGGGGAATACCAGAAATGGGCTTCACACATTGTACCCATGTGGGGAATCGAACCCGGGTCTTCGTGACGAGCCAACGCTTTAACCAATAGGCTACCTCGTCGCTCTCGTCATCATTGACGGTAACGCGAATGCCGTACGCTACAGAGATTATGTCCTATAGCTACCTATACTGTACTTCCCCTCCTTCATTAACAGGTA